ATGTGCTCCAGGCACTGGCAATTGGACTAGATGAGTACATTGCCAATTACAAAAGATCGTTGACCGGATATTCTCAATCTGTTTTTTTCTCGTCTCTTTCTCATAAGCTGAACAGCTGGCGTTCTGCAATCCTTGCCCATTGTCAATCCAATGCATCTTCGTTCTCCAATCATGTGAGCCAGCCACGTTCACTACGTTCTACACATGCCTCCTTGCACCATCTTCAACAACACTTTGCCATTGTCCCTGTGGACAAAACATCACACAATTTGGCAATTTGCTGCAAGAATTGGTATCGGTTTCATCTCTCTACCCATTTGGACAGTCCTACTTATACTGTCCTCAAGAGTTCGTTGATGATGTCCTTGACCACCATGCAGTGTGGAATCACCATTGGGGTTACACCCACACTGATACCCTACCTTACCTTTACTATGTACTCAAAGCTCACAAGTCTCCTCCAACTCTTCGCAGCATTTTTGGAGTCACAACACAAAATAATAGTGTTGTTCCCCTGCGTGCTCGCCCTCGCCCAACAATTTGCACCATTCATGAACGGCCTCCTCACAAACCCTTGGCTAGCACAACGATTACTTCGTCGTATCTCAGCGTTGTTTTGCAAGGAGTAATCTCTACTCTTTGCGAGAAAGACATTGAGCTGTTGATTTTACCCTCTCTCGTTGCACTGTTGATTTTACCACAATGTACACCAACCTTCCTCATGACCGCATTCTGAATAATGTGGCAAAAGTTGTTGAGGAAGCTCATGATTATGCCCTTCGGCAAGCTCGCACGCATTCAATTTCGTTGCCCTCAAAATGATTATTCGAGGACCTAGTTGTGGCAAAATGATTATTCGAGGACCTAGTTGTGGCCAATGAACAATTGATTCAGACCCGAATACCCTTTCTGTTTCTCTGATTTTCCAACATCTTCGCTTTGTTGTACAAAACACTTTTCTATACACGAGAGATGGCACGCTTCGAAAACAAATTATCGGTATTCCAATGGGAACGAATGGTGGCCCATAAATTTCTAATCTAACGCTGTATTGGGATGAAGCACGCTTTGTTGATGACATTCGTCAACATGATCTTCAAGCTGCTCAACAATATGCCTTCACCTATCGCCTCATTGATGATGTTCTTTAATGGGGACAATTACCTCCTCCACCAGAACACTATGGGTTTGAGTGGAAGGAGACTACAACTACAGATGACTCTTATACCTTTTTAGGTATGCAGCTACGGGTCCGTTCCGATAGCTCGCTTCGCATGAGTGTCTTTGATAAAGCGGCTGCTTGGGACTTCCTTGTCATTCGTTATCCAAGTGCGACCTCCAACATCCCTTCCCATCAACCGGCTGGTGTGTTCACTGGGCAATTGACCAGATTTGAACAAATCTGTAACAATTGGCAGGACTCTCGAACTGCGGCAACAACACTTACTTGTCGTATGCTTTCGTGTGGGCATTCCCCACCAACCCTTGCTAAGGGTTGGACTTACTACATGCGCTCCCGCCAACGTCGCTATCCTACACATGAGACGCGTCTCTCTCAGTGGTTCCGACGCATGTTGCGATGGTCCTTGTATTATCCAATTTCTTCTTCACCCTCACAATGCTCTCGCCATGCCCCTGCTTACTCATCTGTTGCTATCGCAGTTTCCACTGCTGCAGTCTCCACTCCTGCAGTTTCCTTTGTTGAAGCCTCCACTCCTGCAGTTTTCACTGCTGCAGTATCCACTATTGCGGTTTCCGCTGCTGCAGTGTCCACCGCTGCAGTTTCCGCTGCTGCAGTGTCCACTGTTGCGGTTTCCAGTGTTGCAGTGTCCACTATTGCAGTTTCCATTGTTCCAGTTTCCACTGCTACAGTTTCTGCTGCTGCGGTTTCCGCTGGTGCAGTTTTCAGTATAACAGTTTCCCTAACTGTAATTCCCCCTACTTTAGTTTTTACTGCTACAACTTTCTATCCTGCAGCTCCAATGCAAACAACATCACAATCTCTCCGACGCTCACGTCCTTTGCTCTGAAATCTTGCCCAGTGCACCCCCCTCTCATCTTTGTGTATGCTTGGCCGTAGACGACTGTGTTCCTCCTCACCACCCCCATCTCCTCCACAGTCTCGCTTGCAAACAAAATCTCCAGTTTCCATTGTTCCCATTGTTCCACCTGCGTTGCTAGGTACAAGTTCAACTTCTGTTTGCAACACCACTACTCCTCTTGTTGTGTATCACCGATGACGCCCGCGACATCGTATCTTGTCCGGGGATCAGCAACATGTTTCTTTGTCTGCCGCGATTCTCTTTGTACTGCCTCCACAGGTTGTTGCGGTTCCTTTGTTTCAAACGGCAATATTCGCTCATATGCCTCCTGCAGACAGTCCAGCTGCCTGGTGGCAGCCACCAGTCCCTGCTCAGCATGCAGCCGCTGCCCATAGTACACCCCCAACTCCAAGTACAGTCCCTACTCAGGATGCAGCCCTAAACGTTGAGGGATTGGAACATAGTCTGCCCGGATTGCAGTTGACCCCACAAGGCGTAGACCACATGGGGGATTTGCAAATGGTTGACCAGCATTGTTCGGATGAGCCACAATTTTGTGCTCCGCCACACGCAGACCACATGGGTGATCTGCAAATGACCGACCAGCAAACAACCCAACACAGTTTGGGCTTGCAACACCATGTGGGTGATCTGCAAATTGTTGGTCTGCATCCAACAAACCAGCCTGAGAACCTCACCAATATCTGTGGTTTGACAGCAACTAATATCTGTCTTCACATTCTCCATCGCCTGTTTTATACACCATCAAACTTCCTTGCAATCGCCCTTCAGCTTGATGTTGATCTTCCCCAATGACAACCAGAGGATTGTAATTATACGAGCGAAGGAGGCTTTTCCATTGCTGTCGTACAAGTAGCAATGAGGGACCGTCAACTTGAACTACGTAATGCTCGAGCAGGTGAGTGGTTTAATCCTCCATCCCACATCTCTGTCTGCATTGTGCACGGCCCTGGCCATTACATGGCCATTGTACATGCCTCTGACCACTGGGAGTTGTGGGACAACGACACCATGGTCCATGCCATGATTGATGTCACTGATTTTTTACAAAATGACGCTGTTTTCTTGCCGCAATAAACCGTCTGCAATCTCTTTTATGCCAAAGATCATTCCTCTGGCCCCGTGTTGCAGCAAGACAATGCACCAACACTCTGCGACCTTCTCCTTTGCACAACCGCAAACACTATTACACTCGGCTGTAGCCGCCATCGTCTCTGTCACAATCACTACAATGACATGGTTTCTGCATCCATGTGTGCAGAGGACTGTCCCACCGTTCCTGACTGCAGGCACCTTCCGCATCCAGACACTATATGTCCATTTTGCGGCCATGGGCGCTATACTGAATGCATGCTCTTTTGTGGTGACTGTTCTTCTTTCATTTTGGCCTGCAATCGACATCTCATTTGTCGGGGGTGTAGGGCGGACATGCTCAATGCCACCCGTTGTCTGAGAATGCTCAGCTAGGTCTTCCATGTGTTCATCCACGTCATCCTTACAATGTATGTCCTTTCTGTCGTCAAGGACAAACTCATTCGTGAGCCTTTTCTTATCCTCTTTTGCCTTCATCTTCACTCCACACTCCACATTCCATACTTCCCCTTACTTTCCCTTTGTTGTTCTTTGTTCGTCTGCTCTCCATCTCTCCTCCCTGTGTTTATCCCCTCCCCCTTCACTCTGCCTCTTTCTCATAGCGTACAAGTGGGCTGTTATGGCACACGGGGATGGGGGCAGCTTGCGCTCAACTTCAACAATGTGGCGAGCCTTGTACGTGAGAGGCACGGTGAAAGGGGGGTCAAAAGAACAATGAGTAAAATGAATGGTTTCACTGTGCCCTTCATGTTTGTCCTTTTTTTTTTTCTTTTTTCTTTTTTTTGCCGTTTGTTTCGCAAATTGCGCTCTTTTATGTGACAATATGTGTGAACCGACAGTCTGTAGAGTTTTCCATCTGGTGTGGGTGAGTGGTAGTCTACTTTGATTTTGGTTAAGGTAGATTATCATTTACAGTGTAA